TGTAGAACATTGTCTTTATAAACTGTGTTATGCCAATTGAGCTAGGTGTTCCCCGAGACCATGGTCCTCTCAGCCCTCCGCCCAGTAATTCAGTCCCTCAGGGAGTTTGGATGTGTCTTGGGAGCTTCCATGACCTTTCCTTGTGCTGGTCCTTTTTATTCATTCACTCTGCATACCTCAAATTCGTGGCAAACACTGGTCTTGTCTCTGTCCCCTTCATTTTGCTTCTTCCAGTATGTATTATAAATGGAATAATACAGCATGTAGCCTTTGCATTTGGACTTACTTATCCGAATGTATTTTAGCTTTGTTCATATATGTCAAGCTCTTTTCTTTTTATTGATGAATAGCATTCCAAAATACGATATACCACACTTTTTCCATTCACTGGTTAAAGTTCATTTGGTTTGTTTCCAGTTTTAGGCAATTATGAATAAAGCCACTACCAATATTCACGTAAAAATTTTTGTGTATATAAAAGTTTTCTTTTTTTTTTTTTTTGTTAAATACCCAGGAGTGAGACTGTTGGGTCATATGATAAGTATATATTTAACATTATAAAAATATGACAAGCTGTTTTCCAGAATATCTGTACACTTACTGTATATCAAATATCTTTTCATAGGCACATTTGTTACTCTTATGAATGAATACAGACACCTTAATAAAGTGCCTATTCAGATCTTTTGGTCAGTTTTTCATTGGATTGTTTGTTTTCTTATTGTTTGAAGAGTTTTTTTAATGTATTCTGGAGGTTTGCACTCAACTGCTAACCTAAAGGTTGGTGGTTTGAACCTACCAAGTGGCACCATGGAAGAAAGACCTGGCAATCTGTTTCTATAAAGATTACTTCCAAGAAAACCCTATGGAACAGTTCTACTCTGTAATACATAGTGTCTCCATGAGTTGGAATTGACTTGAGTGCAGTAGGTGTTATATATTCTGGATACCAGTCCTTTGTTGGATATGTGATTTGCAAATATTTTCTCCCATCTGTGGCTTATCTTTCCATTCTCTTAACAGTGTTTGAGCAGAAGATTTACATTTTGATGAAGATGGCATTTATCTTGTTTTTTTCTTGTATAGATTATACGTTTACTGTCATATCTAAAAACGTTTTATCTAACCCAATGATTAAACGTTTACTGTCATATCTAAAAACGTTTTATCTAGCCCAGTGTAACTTTCTTCTGGAAGTTTTATTTTTTCAGGTTTTATTTTTCAGCATATGGCCCATTTTGAATTAAATTTTGCATAAGGATGAGTTGAAGTGTTTTTGTTTTGTTTTTCATTGTTTCTTTTTTTTGGCACGTGAATGTCCAGTTGTTCCCGAATGATTTGTTGAAGAGAGACTCCTTTCTCCATTGAGTTGTCTTTGCAACTATGTTTAAATCAGTTGACCATACTTGTACGGGCCAGTTCTTGGCCATCTGAGCAGCTCCTAAATTCCTGACCCTCAGAAACTGTGTGAGATAATAAATTTTTGTGTTTTAAGTAATTAAGTTTTGAGGTAATTTGCTTGGTAATAATACCTAACTAATAGAAGACCTATTGTCTCTGTTGTTTAAAAGAAAAATTTCTTTATGTTTCGCAATCAGTGTTGTCAAAATGCAGATCTTTGTGTTTAATTCTTTGTGCTTTATGTAGAGGTGCAGATTGTCCTTCAGTTTCACAATAGTTTTTGGTGAAATAGCGCTATCCCTTTTTACTCGTAGCCATTTTTGTTCTCTGTAGGTCCTAGACAGTTTAGAAGTGGTTCCAGGAGTATCGTTTACCAAACTTACTCATTAGCTGCTAACCAGAAAGTCTGTAGTTCAAATCCACCAGCCGCTCTTTGCAAACCTTATGGGGCAGTTCTGCTCTGTCTTACAGGATCACTATGAGTCGGAATCAACTCGATGGCAATGAGTTTGGTTTTCGTACTCATACCTGCATGTCTCCCTAAAGACTTAGGCTTTCTTATTGTGTAAACTCCTGTGCCTATGTCCTTTGTCTTTTATAATGAATTCTTTCGTAGGAAGATTTGGTGCAAGTGGATGGACATATGGTGGATTCTTCCTGAGGAGCTCTAAATCCTGCACATTAGAAATGATTCTGATGTCATCATAGAAATTCAATATATTTTGTGTTTTTGGAAAAAATCATTTTGTACAAAAGATCTGATTAACTCAACTTTTACAGATTATTAAATGATAAATTTTACCCATCCTCTAGGCTAGCTGGATTTTTTAAAACTCAATATTTTTTAATTAGACTGCAGGCTTGGGATATACTTACAAAACAAACAGTCATCTTTCCTTTACCTATTAACATTTAAGAAATAAAACTTAAAACACTTAGTTTTAAGGAACAAATTTATTCCTTGAGGGCAACTAGATACTGTTCAGAACAAGTTTGTTTATATTTATCCTCTGACATTGCAATATGATTTTTTCTAGTGGTCACTATTTCGATTGTTTACTAAGAGTTAGAGGAAGCCATACATAAACATGTACAATGTGTTTTGTTTGATTTAATTGCCCTTAACTTTTCTCCTTGAGGATGATCTATATATTTTTTTTATTTGATTTTATTTTCATTACAGAAGGGAATTGTCGTCAATAAATGTTGAAATTGTAATTTTTGAAGTTTAATGAAACCCTTGTTAATTGCCATCAAATCGGCTCTGACTCATGGCAACCTTATGTCTAAGAGGAAAGAAACATTGCCTGTTCTTGCACCATTTTCATGGTCATTGGTACATTTGAGTCCTGGGTTTTTGTTGGCTAATTTTTGGAAGTAGATCACCAGGACTTTTTTCCTAGTCTGTCTTAGTCTGGAAACTCCTCTGAAAGTCGTCCATCATGGTTGAACCTGCTAATATTTCAAATACCAGTGGCATAGCTTCTAGCATCATAGTAACATGCATGCCACCACAGTACAACAAACTGACATATAGGTGGTAGTGAAACTTTTACTGTCAAACTTTTAAGAAGAAAGAATGACTTACGCACTGTCTCCTTATTCTGAACACCATCTTCTTTATATTTGGCTTAGACATTATCTTCCAACACTTTTATGATTGTTTTACGCTTTCTGTGTATGATTACATGCAGTCCTGTTCTTGAGTCTGTCTTTAAATTGAATTTGTACATAAATCAGAACAGTTAGGTATGGCTCATATCTAATATCAGTTAGTCAGATGCTTGTCTTACTATAAGTATGTAGTGTATTTTTCTATGCATAAAAAACTTTAAAGAAACACTTCTAGATACACTAAAACATCTTTAACATAATACAGTACAATAATAATGTTTTGACGTGCATCGCAAAGTAGCTCCCATTTGTTATTACGAACCATTGTATGTACCTCAAGTTTTTAACATAATAGACTTTATTGGGGTTGGTTTGTAACTACAGGTTTTACGTAAGTTAGACATTTGTAATCCAAGGACTGCCTGTATACTATTTTACCTTGTGATTTATGATGCCATCTTAGGATATTCACATTATTTTAATGTTATTTCATCATACCTGTTCTGTTTAGTAATCACTCTGAAAGTATATTGTAATCTTTATGTAACTTCTTTTTCCATATCTTCATATGATTTTAAATCTTACTAACCTTGTAGCTCAGATAGTTACATGGAATGCTAATATCTTACATATTTGAAATTATAATCATGGTAGTTATCTTCATGACTTATGTAAAAATGTTAATGATTTACTCCATTTAAAAATCTACTACAAAATAAAAAACAAGACATGACTTGCTTCTAATTTAACTATTATTCTCTTAATTCTGATTCATTTTTATGCTTAATTGTATTTAATTGTTGTAAAACACTGATATATAACCCTTGTTTATAAAACTTCTCAGTGAGTAATAGTGGGGTTATGGCAACAGTGGATTCCCCATAAATACTTGTTGTGGATTAACTTCAGTTTGCTACATTGTTGGAATATGATCCTGTTAAAATCCAGTTAGTAATCTTTTAAGTGCTATATTTGGCATGCAGACTTTTAAATCTAGGTAGCCATCTCATCTCAGAATCATGTATCTCAATGCCAGAAAGATTGTATATTGATTGAAATAGCACATTATTTCTATTGGAAAAAATAACATGAAACAAATATTGCTATTTAAAATTCTTATTTTAATAATGAGTATCTTCCTTTGGAAGGCTGTTAGATTAATCAGATTGTAAATAGCAACATTCTTTGTCATGGTTAGTTTTTAGTCAGAGATTCCACATGTTAAAAGAAATTCTGTGTTTTCATGTATTCCCATTTCATTGAATTGGTATATTTTAGAGCTATTTTAATTTTTTCCCCTCCTCTTTACAGGTTACTGTATTAGCCTTCATAAAAAGATCGAAAGATTAACTGTGCCTCTAAGGGGAAGTGCAGTCCAAACCAATTCAGTTCTGTTCTACTTCTGTTCTGACACCAACTGCGAATGTACTTCTTCCTTGCATCCTAACCACCAGAGCTAGGTCAGACCTTACTAGTTAAAGGGCACGGTCCTCCAGAATGTCAAGTCTGCCCAAGACTTTAGTCACCAGCCTCAAGCTTGGACGTCCCCACGGCACCTTCACTTCCGATTTGCTGGCTACAAATTTGAGAGTTCCACCTCCTCTTTCAGGATACTAGCTGCAAGCTTGGGAATCCCCAGGAAGGCCGCCTTCACTTCTGACCTGTTGACTCCCACTATTCCCTCGTGTTCGATAATTCGCTAGAACTACTAACAGCACTCAGGAGAGTGCTATATTTACAATTACACTTTTATTATATATAACAAAATGGATATAAATGAAGAGACACATAGGATGAGGTCTGGGAGGTTTCCCAGCAAGGAGCTTTTGCGTCCCATAAAAGGATGCACTGCCTTCCCCCATGTTTCATTATTTGTCACTAACTAGGAAACCCATGGAGATTCAATGTCCAGAGCTTTTATGGGAGTTCCATTACTTTGGGGAAAGTGTATGATAGTTGCTTTGGTACCTTGAGTATGGGAAGAGAGGGTATGATAGTTGCTGTAGTACCTTTGTTACACAGTGACTTACCTTTTTACTTCCAGTTTCAAGTCATACCTGCTTTTTGTATCATTCAGCTGTCTTCTCCGTAATCATTACAAATCTTAGTATATACCACTGGAGATAGACTAAATATCAAATGTAAAAACAAAATTTTAAATTTAGCTAAATGGTTTTAAAATCTGTTTACTTTAGGCTTAGTTACATCACACAACTAAATTCCTACATAAAATTTTAAAATCATGAAATTCTTAAAAGATGAAATGAGAACTGCTCCCAGGTGCTTTAAAAGATGATTTTATTCTGATACATACCAAACATATAAAAGTGTGTCTGTGTGTGTATAACATATGTGTGCTGTTTAAAGAATACTGAAAAGAATACACATGTACCCACCACTTGGCTCTAGATAGCTTTCCTGCCCCCTTCCTTGATCCTATGGTTGTGGGACCATGTTACCTGTCAGTATGCATCCATTGTTTATCCATGCTGGTTTTCTGACAATGAATCTAAACTGTCTAGGTTTCAGTAAGCTATTCTGTTATTTAATCCTTCAGTTTAAACATTTTTGGTCCTAGTAAAACAAAATATTTTAGATTTGTACAATAAGATAACTGGAACAATAAGCAAACTTTCCAAGTTACAGAAGCATTTGCTAATATTATATTTCTTTTCATTTTTATTGTCTTTTACTCTTAGTGAAGCTGTGGTCTACCAACCTAGACAACTCAGTTGCAAGCATTGAGGCCAAGGCTAATGTGTGCTGTGTCAAATTCAGCCCCTCTTCTAGATACCATTTGGCTTTCGGCTGTGCAGGTAAGAAATGAAAGCAGATTTGTCTTCCTTTCATGATGATTGAGCATCATGGCAACGATAGAAAGCATTTAAAAAAGAAAAACGGTTCTTATAGGTTTAAATTTTGCTTTAATTATTAGACTGTAAATTAGAAGTATGCAGCATGCCATCATTTCTCATTTAGTGCTATGCCTTAATTGCACTATTCTGTCACCTGTGTTTAGTACAGCGAGATGAGTTTCTTTCTTTTTTTTTTTTTTGATTATTCTTCTAAGTCTGTGTGCATGAGTTAATGCTTATAACTTAGATCATAATGATGTTTAAACAATTAAGCTATATTGTATTTTTGCATAGACACAGGAATCCTTTTTTTTTTTCCCAAGGAAGTCTATTAATTTCTTTAGTAATTACTGAGTGCCTACTATGCACAAAGCACTCACCTAGGGGCAGTGAATAAGACAAAGTCTTGTTTCATGGAGTATGTGATAACATAAGTAAGTACTCAAAAAATGTTAGCTATTATTTTTTAACTAGGGTGACCATATGTCTGGGACAGTCCTACTTTACACCTGTTGTTCCATTGTAATTACTATTAATGACCCCTTTCATTCTCAAAAATGACATGGGTTGGAAGATAAATCATATGGTCACCCTATTCTTAACTCCTTTTTCTTTTATATTTGATTTTCCCCTCTTGAAGATTTGCTAAAGCAGTAAACACCTGCAATTTCACTTATGCTGTTATGAAATCTCTTTGATTTTTTTTAAAATTAATAATCCCAGTTGTTTAAAAAGATAAGCTAGCACCATATCATGAGATCAGCATCAACTTTTAGGAAGGAAAATAATGTCTTTCCAGGTAGTTACATGATATGTCTTTCTATTTGTTTGGAGTGGTTTCTGTCTGGTTTCTATCTTGGATAAGATTTTATAATTTACTTAATTTAGGTCCTGGGCCTTTCCTACTGAATTTTTAAAAACGTATTTTCTACTTATTACTATTTTTAAATGATATAGTTTTCCATTGGTTAAGAGCTACGGCTGCTAACTAGAAGGTCAGAAGTTTGAATCCACCAGGGGAAAGCATTCAGTCCTTCTCAATTAAGCATGATGTTAGCTGTAGGTTTTTTATAGAGTGTTTTATCAGGTTAAGTTTTCTTCTAAGTTTGCTGAGAGTTTTTATGATGAATGAGTGATGAATTTTGTCAAATCTTTTTTTTTTTTTTTTTTCTTTATTGAGATGATCATGTGGTTTTTATTGCCTTTCCTTCCTGGGGAAGAAAATTCTTACTGTTCATGATGTAAAATCTTTTTTATATATTGCTGGGTTCAGTTTTCTACTATTTTAAGTATATTTGTGTCTGTGTTCATGAAGGATATTTGTTTGTAGTTTTCTTATGATGGTGTTTTCTGACTTTGATGTCAAAGTACCATTGACCTCATAGAATGAATAGGGAAATTTTCTCTCCTTTTTTGTCCTGAATGAGTTTGTGAAAGATTGATATTATTTCTTCTTTAAATACTTGATAGAACTCACCAGCAAAGCCATCTGGGTCTGCATTTTTGTTTGTAGAAAATTTTAAATTCCTGGTTCAGTTTCTTTACTACTTATAGTTCTTTTCAAATTCTCTTTCTCCTTGAAGTCAGTTTTGGTAATTTATGTCTTTCTAGGAATTTGTCAGTTTCATCTAAGTTTTCTAATTTGTTGGCAAAAAGTTCAAATATTCCCTTATAATCCCTTTAATTTCTGTAATGTTGGTAGTAATGCTCCGCTTTCTTTGCTGACTGGTAATTTGTATCTTATCTTCTTTTCTTCTTGGTCAGTCTAGCTAAGTTTGTCAGT